TTACAAAAAATAAAATATTATTTTATAAATCGGCATATGCCGAATTATTGCCGAGTGGTATTATGCCGAATAATTGCTGAATATTACTATGCCGAATGTTGTATTCGAATGTTTGACGAGTGGCAGCATGCCGAATGGCACTATTTTGACTAGTGTAATATATGTTTTTTTTACCTTTATCAATATCACCTTTATTATTTCTAGAATCTTTTATTATTTTATTATTTTTATTACTATATATATTATATCTTTACTAGAGTATTTTTCTATACTTACTGTAAATATATTAACTGTTTTAAAGAAGATAATATTTATTTTATAACTATTATTACTATTATTATTCATATGTATTATATACTCAAAATATGTATATAAATATCTTCAATTCCTTCTGAAATTATAAGGTTGAACTTTTCTCTTTATTAATAAATAACTTGACCATTATAAAACAAATCACTATTGTCTTTTTCACTTGATCTTATATACCTTAGAACTGTACTAATTTTAGTATATCCTTATAAACTTTAACATATTATATTGATTTATTTATATAAAGTATCTTTCTACTATTAGTTCTTTATTTATATTTTTCTTTTGAGATAGAATAATATATAATACTATATAATCATTAAATTATATTTCATCCAGTAATGAGTTCTCAATTTTCAATTCATATCAGTCATATAACAAATCTAAAGTAAATATTGTTTGTTAATTTTATATAAATATATACAAGATCAATTATTTATCTATAGTTTCTTGCCTTTTATTACAAGTTCTTTTTGGTATCTCAATTTGACTTTTTTTTGATTAAAAGAGTTTAATTCAATTATTCAGATTCCATGCATTATTTAGATCCTGTTGTGAAATTGTAGGAACAATTGATCCATGTAAATTCCTCTTAATTCCTATTTTTAGATCATTGTAAATAGATGAAAAGTTATATATATTATAGAAAAATAAGCTATTAACAAAATAAACAATACTATAATAGATTTCTTTTATGATGGGTAGGTTACTATGCAATAATAAACATGAGAAAAATATACAACTTGCTTAGATCAGAGTGCTATCAATCTTGAATTGATAAAAACATAGTTTTTCACCTTCGAAGTTATCAAGGGCAACTAAGCAATATAAAGAATTGAGCTTGTTGTACTTATCCCAATAGAAAGCACTGATTACATAAAAATTAATTGTGATTATAGAAAAAATCCTGAATGAATGTGACAAGAATACTCCCTTAAGACAAATTGCTTAGTTTTATATACATATTTCCATAATTTTTTTAACAAAATAATTGATGCAACTAGATAATGATATCAGCTCACAAATTAATTTATCAATGCATTCTTGATGTTTAGAGTTACTGTATATATGCTGGCTATGTGTGAACTAGTGTATAAAAGAAGATTATATAACATATATGCCCCAAAATATTCAATAAAGTTTTTTCAGAATCCATTGCTTCGATGTAAAGGATTGTTTAATGTATAAAATAGTATCCATTTACAATATCTATTGCTCATATTACAGTAATTTGATCATCTAGTTGTTCAAGATGGATTAAGGTTCAACCATTCATATTCTAATGCACTCCAGTTTCACAACATGACGAAATCCCTTCAATCTGTCAAGTGAATTAAATTTATCTTGTGCTGTCATAGATAGTTAGGTCTTTCTTTTTTGCATATTACATATAATTGTGATATTAAAAATCCCTCACAAATCTTTATTATTTTGGAGCTCTAAACCATGTCAAAGATTATCTATTTTGATTTAAGATATTATTGCACTTGCCTTCTTTTAATAGGTCCATTTTTATCTAAACCCAATCATTGACCAAAAGCAATCCATAAACATTTCTTTATATCGATAGACGGAAGTTCATTAGTTTCATTATTGTTGTCATCATTTTTAGAGATTATGATCTCATCTTCAACTAATGCCAAAAAATCTGAAGGTATTTTTTACATCTCAAGGTGATTCGTGATAGGCCAAGCTTCTTTAATAAGTGTCGTGATTAATAAATCACATGTGCTTACATTTTGAATTATCTTGATTTCTTTCGAGAATATTTGATCCGATACATAAAGAGAAATGCTTCTCCACTCATTTTCAATATAATAAACCTTATCTTTCATACATAACCCACAAGTCGTGAACTGAGTATGGTGCTATATAAATCAACATATATATCAGCAGAGCTGGCACGGTTAATAATGCATGGAAGAAGTTTTGGAAACGTATAGATAAAACAATCATGAAATTGCATATTTTTGTGGGTCGAACCAACTACCCTCGTCAAAGCATTAAGCCAATGGAATATAGTGATCATGATCATGGCTACGTTCAGTTCCACAACTTGCCGGAGCAAACTCGTGACAAATGACAAGTAATTTTTCGACCATCACAAAAGCAATTTCACTAGAAAGGGTATTTACAGTATCTAAGCAACATATTAACGAATATTCAGAAATAAATATATACCCTTAATGGATCAAATACTATATTATGCATTACATTATCGAAGTCACTTATGCCTTATACTTACTATTTGGATTGAATTGATATTTATTGGTATAGCAATAAAGATTATAAGTTTTTTCGCCACAATATTCACCACTACCCCAAAAACCCTCTATAAAATTTCTTATATCTTCTTTTTTATGGTTTTTATTACATAATGGGCAGGGTACTTATCTATTAAAATCAAATAATTACTATATTTAAAACTATGTCTCAAAGTTAAATAAGGAAATCGCTCTAATACCATGTTAATAACATGTTGTTGCCTTTCTTCCGGGTCTTTAGGAAAGACAGAAATTGGGAATTGTCGTTTAGATGGCGTAGATTGAACATTTATTTGCGATACAAATAAAGCTTTCTCCTCAGCATTCTTTTCGATTTGGGGGAATTCAGAAGTTTCAGACTTTATCCAGGGATCGAGTCCTGTTTTTTCCTTATATATTTTATATAACTTGGAACGAAGTTTATCAGATATACAGTAGTGGTTGGCAAATCAGTTAATTTGGAATACCAATCCAGATATTCGGGGGTTAGTACCTCATCAGACTTGGCTTGTATATCCATGTTATCATTTATATAATCTCAAAGCAATTTAATTTCTCGCATTGAGTATTACGTACTAAAAAATATTATTTCATTTTATTCTTATTGCATACTAATGAGTTATAAAGCATAACGAAAATGATAGGACTGCTTCGCATCTAAAGTTTATACAATAATTTGAATTTCGCGCTGTTCACATTTAATATAGTATGATGATACAGAGCATCGAATCTCCAATTCCCCAGTTTCATATCTACCTTCTATACTTTCCTCTTCATTATGTTCTAATATGCATATTGGGCATAGTGCCCCGTTAGTAATTCCGTAATAATCGATATTTTTACGGTCATGGGTCAGATTATTCTGATTTTCAGGTAAGGTCTTTGATTCGGTTTGAGATTTGAATGGCACATTTACCTCTGCTTTTGGTAAATCTTTCTTGGGTCGTGATCCAGATGATACATTTATCTCGGTTTCTAATAAAGCCTTTTCGAGACGGGCTGTCCCGGAAATTTCAATTATATTATCTTCAAATGATACTTCAGGTGTGATTTCAAGTGAAGGAGAATTAGAGATTTGGCTCTCTAAACCATGATTAATAATCTCTTGAATTTGATCGTTAGTAAGTTCCGAGATAGAATTTGCACTATAGTTCTTAATATGTTTAATTTTATCTAGACCTATCTTTTCGAATTACTTATAAATTTTTACAGCTCTTTGAGTTTTTTTGCGCAAGGTATCTAGTGATATATTTGGAAGTTGTAAGTCCAAGTCTTGTGATCGTTTTTTACGAAGAACACAGAGTTTATTTTCAATTTCATTATAAATCAAGGTTCTTGCTTTTTTCTCGCCAATTTTATTTTTACTACTCATCTCACCAACTTGAAATTCAAAATCCCTACCATAAAGAGACCAGCACATGATTTCTTCCTGATTAGCCTTCGAAGCTCGATCTTCTGCGCCTATGGCTGTATCGCACAATTGAGCTAAATGTTGTGATACCTCATTAATGTCGAATGAATTAACAATACACTTCGCAGAACCATCCATGCCCTCAAATTTTTCGGGACGGGCCGTCTCGGAAATTTAGATCTGTCCTGGTTTAATATTTTTTGATATAGAGTGATCTTGCGAACTCGGCTCTAAAGAAGTACAGTATTGAATAATTCTTGCCGGAGTTTATCTGTTCCCTTTTTCTTATGGCTAACCAAAGATAGGCCTTGATCTCGAAGCTTCTTCTCCCTATTGCGTTGTTTTATCTCACTACTAACTCTTTCCTTACTTTTAATATCTAGAAACTCATCGATCTCTTTATTTTCTGATGATTTAGGCTCGGACGAGTATGTATGAATATTGGAAGAAATATCAGATGATGCTTCGTGGAGAATAGAATCTTCTAATACGTGTACAGTGTCTGCTTCTGTTCCAATTTCGTAACCCTGTCTCTAAGCTCAACATTTTCAGCAATGAGATTACCGGTATCTGTT